ACTGACTCCGCGAAGGGCAAAGCAACCGGCAGCTCTGCAGGGGAAGACAGCGAGTCGCCGGGAGCAGCCGGCACTGACTCCGCGAAGGGCAAAGCAACCGGCAGCTCTGCAGGGGAAGACAGCGAGTCGCCGGGAGCAGCCGGCACTGACTCCGCGAAGGGCAAAGCAACCGGCAGCTCTGCAGGGGAAGAAGTTGGACGGGGCGGTGCAGCAGCGGCAGGCACAAAAAACACATCCGTCCCAATCACAAAGGGGGTTGGGAGCACAGTGGTGGAGGGGGCTGTCAGTGGCGACAGCACCGTCCGTGGGCATCTGTGTGGAGTGCTGTCCCTGCTTCTGCTTCTGCTGGGGCTGTGGGGCGTTGCGGCCTTCTGTTGAATGAAGCGAGGAACGGTACAATTGCAACTTTTCGTGTAAAAACGAAATGTGCAGCCTCCCAGTATCACCCTCTGAATTTCTTTAATATACCCATGTTTTTTTTTTCTTTTTCTTTTTTTTTTGTTCTGTTTTTTTTTTTTTTTTGTTGTTGCCCACACGCGACGACGGCCTTTTTGTTGTGCATCCCACGTACCGCACAAAAGAGGACTGGAGTAACAGGCCGGATGTCGCAATAAAATGTAGAGAATGTTGTGCGGGCTGGTGGAACAGTGCAGTGTCCTTTCTTTTTTTCGGGCAATATATGTATACACCCAGTCCCTCTGTGCTTTGGGACAGATGAAATGCAAGCCGCTGCTAAGAGATACTTTTTATTTTTGTTTTCCGGGAGTCCTGCTGGACTCACACTTCTTTTTTTTTTTTCTTTTTGGTAACTTGCCGCGACTTGTTTCCGTTTGTGCTGTGCTCCACTGCCACTTTGTGTTACCGTGTCCGGTTGAGTGTCCTTCTGCCGGCTGTGCTGCTGACATGCCCCCGTTTCCTCTTCTTTTCTTCCCTGCTATAGGCACCGATTGTCCGCAACGACGATTGTTTGTGTTACCCTCTGCGATGCGACGGGAGCGACGGGGTGCCCGGCTCGGCTTTCTGCTTCTTCTGCAAAGGGAGGGGACGGTGTGCGGCGTGCCTCACTGTGGGTGTGCGGGGCACTATCCATTGCAGCCTGCTGTGCGGCATGAAGCCAATCTGTGAGGACAGAGCCGTGGCCGACTGTGCCGTGCGCTTGGGTGCGCCCCGTTCTTCTCGTTGCGGCTGCCTGTGTGCTGTGCGCACGGCAGTTTCTTGCGGAGCAGCGTGGATGACGCTGCTTCTGCGTGCGCTGTGCGGCTGACTCCTTCTCCACGTTTCTTCACCCTCGCACGAGGGGCGTCGTCCGTCACCCATCCGTGGGAGGCTGTCATTCCCAGTACCTCTGCATGGCGGCTGTGCTGCCTGTGATCGCTGTGTACGGCGTCGTTGTGTGGTACGCGGAGGACTGCCACTGGCAGGAGCTGCGCGAGCCGTGGCGTGGTGGGCTGGAGGCGCTGCTGCGCGATGACGAGGAGAGTGACGAAGAGACGCAGAAGCCGCACGAAATGACGTTATCGTCGTACGCCACAGGCACCACCGGCGCGTCGTCGTACCGACCACCCGCACCGCCGCTGCAGCCCATGGCTGGTGACACCCGCTCAGACGTCCTGAGCCCGCTGGACCGTGCATCCAGTGCGGGCCGTATGATCGGTTACGCTGCCATGTGACGTGTAACACGCGGAATTAGTAAGTATGCGGTGATGGTTGGTATGAGGGAAGGATGCGGGGTCACGTCTGCAATGCGCAGCAAAGCCATCGATTGTTCACTGCACTGGCGGCCCCGCTGTTCATTTTTTCTTTTTTGGTTTGCTTTTATTTTTTGCTGAAATGTGCATTTTTTTTATTTTATATATTGCGTACTGGAGGCCACTTTGTGCTGTCACACTGTGTGGCTGGCTCTCTTGTTGTGGTTGCACAGTCATGTCTGTGCGTATATATATATTTTTTCTTTTTAATTGGTGGTTAGTGTTCAGCTTGTAACTCAATCCAACTGCGAAGACAAGGAGAAACAATGCCTGGAAAGCGCGAGAGAGTGCACGGTGGCAATGCCGAGAGTCAAGCGTCTGCTGTGCCGCAGGGAGGTGGTCAGACGAGAGCAAGGCCGGAGTCCCATGGCGACACGGATCAACCCGCTGCGACCCACATAAGAGTGGAGGAAACGCGGCAACCGCAGTGGACTCTTGACAGTCGACTGGAAGAAGTGCTGCTGGAGGGAAAGGAACGCATCACCAACATGAGGCTGAATGATTTCCTTCGGAATTGTTTTGACGGCAGGGGCGTTGAGGAATTCAATGAGAACGTCTATATGAAGGACTTTTTAGGTGGCCCCAATGAGTTCATCCAAGACGAAGTGTTATTGAGGACAATAGAGGCATCGCCGCCATGCCAAGAGCTGAAAAAAGAGCGTGAGGAGTTTTACATGCTATTGGAGGCCTCAAATAAGCTTAAAAAAGAATATATTGCCACTCTCAGTCGATGGAGGGACTTTGAGGGAAAGGATACGGTCACTCCTCTTGCAAGGGCACAGATAAGCACAGCCTGCTCTCAGGTACTGAGAGAAGAGAGTCGGAAGGCAGAGGAAAGGGAAAGGCGAGAACGACAAGAACTGGGAATTGACGTTTCCACTAGGCTTAAATATGCGGTGTTTAAAGGAAGGGTTCGCGTGGATAAAATGAAGCTGAATGATTTTCTTGCGATGGAATTGGACGGCAGGGGCACTTTGCGCGACAATCGGGATGTCTTGCTGGAGGAGTTTTTCAAGAACCCCAAGAAGTATATTTGCGATGCGGGAGTATTGGGCGGAATGCAGGCATCGGATCGTTACAAGAGGATGGAGAGGGCTGTGAGGCATGAAATGGATATGGAAGAGGATGTAAACAGGCTTTACAAAAATGGTGTGGACAATCTACTGAAGTGGTTGGTGGCTGCTGCGGAGGTAAAGGCAAATGTTCATGAAACCACTAAAAGGTTCCTGGATGCAGCCGCCGAGGAGGCGAGGAGCCCAAAGAAGTCGAGTGCACCGATATACCTGGAGGGATGCTACGAGTCTGTGTACAATGCAAGGTGGCATCATGTCGTGGAAGTTTCTGACGGCGAGGGGACGGGAATGGATGTGAGGGAGGGGGAACCACCGCAGTCATGGACGTACAAGGCAGTTGGCGAAACTCTTGAAAAGGATGACGGTGTGCAGCAATCCGGTGCACCGCGTCCCAGGCTGATGGTGCTCACCTCGGACAGGGGATGGCCGTACTCGTGGGAGGAGAATGAATCCACTCGTGACTGCCATGTGAACTGTGAGGTGGAGCGAGTGTGGCAGACCGTCAGGAATGATCTCACCGAATGGTTCAGCCCTGACACTGGGGACTACTTTACGCCCAAGAGGCGTGTGTTGATTGGGACGCCCGGGATCGGGAAGTCGATCGCTGCTGGCTCGTACCTCCTCTACCAGCTGCTGCACTGCGATGCGGAGAAACTCCATTTGGTTATCTACAGTTTTGGTGGAAATACGACGTACGTGTTTGACAAGACCATCAAGGCGGTGACGAAATACGTGGGTGGAGGACCATCCAAGGAATTTTTTCATGATTTGTGGGATTTGAAGATGAAAGGGTATGCTATCTACGATGTGACAAGGCAAGGGAAACCGCCAGAGGAATATTTTTTGCCTGACCGGAGATGGGGCATGATTGTGGTGTCATCGCCAGAGGTAAGCAA